TAGGTCTGCACTGCAAAAAAGAAGACAGGGAACCGGTGTGAGTCTTTATATATATAATCCCCGTTGCTACCGGCTATCTAAAATGAGTGTGGTCGACCACGGAAGACCCTTTTTAGTTGACAAATTTTGTTCAAGGGTTATCTGAAACGGGTCTTTACAAAATGGTTGGCAACGACAGATGTGCAAACTTGTCAAATTAGCCAATTGTTTTATATAGATAACATTGTGAGAAATTTGTTCGATTAAATAACTTGCGCAGACCTTTGGTGTGTGAAGGTCATTTTCTTTCAGCAATTTCTGGATAAAATGATGGGGTGAACTTCTATAGTCGGTAGCAACGGGGACTATATATCATATCGTCTAGTGGGAAGGGAGCGGTTGGAGGCCATCATCGCTATTAGGTTGGAGGCCATCGCTAGCAGGTTGGAGGCCGGTGGAGGCCATCGCTAGTAGTAGGTGGTGGCCATCGCTAGTAGGTTGGAGGCCATCCCTACTAGGTTAGAGGCCGTTGCTAGTAGGTTGGAGGCCATCGCTAGTAGGTTGGAGGCCATCGCTAGTATGAAATCTACTTAATCAGTTTTGATAGCACACGCCCAGCGACACTGAGCACTGAGGCAGCAGGTCTGCGTTTGCAACATCCAGTGCCGGCGTCACTGCAGATGTTGTCATCCCAATTTGCTGTCATGCAAAGATGATTTTTTGTTGCACGCTGTTTTCTCGCAATTTACGACAAGTCCCTGGCACTTCTTCTTATAGGTACATATCACTGACATGCACAAGGTGCCGATGCTTGCCACTCAACTGCAAGTATAACCTAATTGTCTACAATGCGTTGTTCTTCTTCATGTTGATGGGAATGTAAACCTATTATCAGCATTGACCTGTCAATTTTCTGAAGGCCCTAGCCCTAGTCGTGAGAAGATTTGTTGAGATGGGATTGGTATTTTTACGGTGCAACAACTTCTGTCATTTTTTGAAATTACAGATTGTAGCCAATGTCCGTCACTACTGCACACAACCACAGGCGGACAACAAGCCCACTGCCTACTTAAACTTTCAACTTTAAATTTGAGGCCTTGCTTTGGCTGGACGTTGCGGCAATTCACCAAGAACGACCCGAGCTTTTGCGGAAGGCGTGGCCGCTTTCTGGTGACTGTTAATGTGACAGTCAGAGTGAGTCTACCACGTCGGGCAGTGAAGTCGCCACGCACCTGAGTGGCCAGAGTGCAACGGGGTGCACATACCACTGGGCTGTGGTGGGACAGAAGACCGGAGGTTGCGTTGAGAGTGGAGAGGGTGGAGCCGGGCATTGACAGAGTCAGGGTGTTCCCGAAGAAAACTTTGGTTCGTTGCTTTACATCTTCCTGGGCATGGCATCGAGACATGTACATGCAGTGCCCAAAGAAGAGTGTACGCATCGAGGAAGAAGATGTGATCGACAACACATTGGACGGGAGGTTTCCCAAAGCACGACTAAGCACTGGCAGGCAAAGCGTTGGATCAGCTCTGTGCATAAGGGATGTCAAGGGCGAGGTTCGGCTAGCGGCTGGACGGGCTGGCAAGCACTGCGGCGGAATGCCACGGGGTAAAGTTTCGTGTAGCTTGCGGTCAGTGGAGATGGAGGGTTGGCAGGCAGAAAGGGATGCATCTCATGATGCCGGTTCAGGGTAAGCCGGGCACGCAGTAGCCGCGGTAGCCCTGTACAAGTTACTCGTAGTTACAATGAAACGGTGAGAGTGCACGGCCGATACTTTCAAAAGGGCCCCCCAAATTGCAAACTGCGGAAAACAACCGTTTCAATCTCAACCGGAAAAGCATCAAAAGCGTGATTGGAGCGTCCTTCGATCATATCCAAATGGCTGGAGCTTCGTTAGATCAGGCCAGGCCAAACGTACCTGATCCCCCTGCCACGGTGCCTCAACGTGCTGGTGTTTGTAGGTGTATGCGGCTGCTGGATCTGTATTTCTTTGTTGTTGCCCACGTGGTGCTGCTGATTTGCGTCAGGGATGCCCTCAGTGCCAAGTTCAACCCAGAAAACTAAACTTTTGAATAAGCAAGCGTTGGGCGCCGGATTTGGCTATCCGCATAAGATAGCGGCGGGTGTTCTCTTGCGCTAGACTTTGGCTTCCTTGGGCATGTGCAGGCTTTGCATGCTCTCTCTTGAGGGAACTTGGCAGTGTATTGATATTGAGTTCAAGGTCTTGTGCTTGGAGATTGGTTGGACTCCTCTGTTGTTCTTGGATGTTTCGGAGTGCTCTAGGGCTGGGGTGCATTTGCTCGCTTCTTTAGCTGGCGCTGATGCAAGGCTGCGGGAGAATAACATATTCTTCCCATTGCTTGTGGCTGTACAGCTTGGAGCGCAGAATGGTATGTTCAGATTCGGGAAGTTAGGTAGGGAGGTGGACTGGTATGGCATCGGAGCCATCATTAGGAGCTAGAAATGGGGTGGTAATTAAGTGGCCAATTGCCCTTTGGAGTTAGAAATGGGATGGTAAGTGGCCAATTGCCCTTTGGAGGTGCAGGGTTGTGGAATTTGAGGTCTTGGTTGATAAGGCTGGTAACATGGCTGCGTGTTGGTTTTTCCCGAATGCGTAGCGAAGGGTTCTCGTTTAACTCTGGGGGTCTGGAATTAGAGCCTTGTTCGCGACGCGTTGTCTCAGCCTTCGCAACCGTTCGCCGTAGGCGCTAAGGCGCTGCCATTGGGGGAGCGTTTCGGATGGAAACGTGACGTGTCAGATTCGTGTCAAATAGCGTGGAAACGTGTGGAAATGTAAGATGTTGAAGTGTGGAGGATGATTTCACTGCGCAGGCGCAGCGTTTTGTGAGATCCGCAGTTTTCTGTGCAGCTCCATTGGGATTAGCGTTTGGAGAGCGGTGTCTTTGGGGTGTTGGATGTGGCCGTGCCATTAGGGGTTGCGTTTGGGTGTTGCATCGAAGCTCTGCTTTCGTGACAAGTCTCAGCTGAAATGGCGATTTTGGTGGATGGGAGTGTGCTCAGAACGGGCTGAAATCATTCCAAACGTGTGGCGTGGTGCAAATTTTGTTGAAGCTCACACGATACGATATTGTCACTTTTCGTGGCAGGCGCAGTACTTTGTGCGGGTTTTGAGGTGTGGAAGCGCGATTTTCGTGGCAGGCGCAGGGAGTCGTGAAGTTGCGAGGCGACGAGGTGTGACAGGGGTGACATTTCGTGGCAGGCGCAGTACTTTGTGCACGTTAGACGCGTGGACGCGGAAAGATTCGTGGCAGGCGCAGGGAATCGTGAGGTTGTGAGCTGTGGTAGAGGTGAATGTCGCTGTGACATTGGGATTGGATCTCCGTGGCAATACCCACTATAAAATTGGGTTTACATGTTCATAAAACGTTTTAGGCAATAGACCCCTCAAGGGGTTGGTGAATCTTTTTATAGAGAAATGGTTGTGTTTTGATGCTTGATCGTGCTTTTGAATTGGAAATGTGATGTAGTGCATTTGGGCTTATCAAAGGGTGCATCAAAAACTAGACGACGAGTGGCCCGAAAGCATTTTTCATCACGTAGGAAGTCAGAGTGTGAGTTATCTGTTAAGTGTTCAGTGTGAAGTGTTAAGTCGAGTGAGTTGAGGCAGTGTGTGGGTCTCTGTGTGTGTGTATCTATGTCTGTGTGTGTATGAGTCTCTGTCTGTGTGTGTGTCTCCGAGTAAGTTGAGGCAGTGCGTGGGTCTCTGTGTGTGTGTCAACCTTTTAAGAGAGCCGGGTGGTCGGGAGACATGACTCAGCTGCAGGGGCGCCAGAGCAGCTGCGAGAGATGACTCAGCCGCGAGAGATGACTCATCCGCGTACTAAAGTTGCACTGCAAAGTCACCAGTTCTCAGCTTCCAGCTCCACAGATTGCTCCGCGTACTAAAGTTGTACTACAAAGTCGCCAGTTCTCATCTTCCAGCTCCCCAGAGACTCCGCGTACTGAAGTAGCACTAGAAAGTCGCCAGTGCCTGCATTTCGCGCACTCGACACGCACGATCTCCGCAGAGGGTTGCGCGCACACCGGACAAATCGCACTCTCACCTGCATTTCGCGCACTCGACA